CAATTCTCCTGCCTCAGCTTCCCGAGTAGCTGGGATTACAGGCACGCGCCACCATGCCCAGCTAATTTTTTTATTTTAATAGAGACGGGGTTTCACCATGTTGACCAGGATGGTCTCGATCTCTTGACCTCGTAATCCACCCCCCTGGGCCTCCCAAAGTGCTGGGATTACAGGCGTGAGCCACCACGACCGGCCCTTCCTCTTTTCTTTCTTTTCTCTTTCTCTTCTTTATTTTCTTTCTTTCCTCCTTCCCTCTCTCTTCCTCTCTCTTTCTCCATTTCCCCTTCCCTTCCCTTCCTTCCCTTTCTTTCCTTTGACCCTCCCCTCCTCCTCCTTCCCTCCTCTCCTCCCCCTCCCCCCCTCCTCTCCTCCCCTCCCCTCATTTTCCCTTCCCTTCCCTGGCCTTTCCTTCCCTTCCCTTCCCTGGTCTCCCATCCTCTCCCCTTCCCTCCTCTCTCCTTTCTTTTCAAGATGGAGTCGCACTCTGTCACCCAGGCTCGAGTACAATAGTGTGATCTTGGCTTACTGCAACTTCTGCCTCCTGGGTTCAAGAAATTCTCCTGCCTCAGCCTCCTGAGTAGCTGGGATTACAGGCACACACTACCATGCCAAGCTAATTTTTATATTTTTAGTAGAGAACAGGGTTTCACCACATGGACTAGGCTGGTCTCAAACTCCTGACATCAGGTGATCTCCCTGCCTCAGCCTCCCAAAGTGCTGGGATTACAGACATGAGCCACTGCCCCTGGCCCCATGTTTTCCTTAGTACTAAAAATGCTTTGCCAGATGGAAGCTAAAAGACAGTATCTCTGCTGTCACTTAGGAATTTAGAATGTTGGGTAGATTATGCTGTTGTTTTTCAGTTTGCTTATTTGAACCTGGAGATCCCAAATACTTGACTGACTATTTATTTATTTATTTAAGACAGAGTCTCGCTCTGTTACCTAGGCTGGAGTGCAGTGGTGTGATCTCAGCTCACTGCAACCCCCATCACCCAGGTTCAAGTGATTCTCCTGCTTCAGCCACCCAAGTAGCTGGAATTACAGGCATGCACTACCATGCCTGGCTAATTTTTGTATTTTTAGTAAAGATGGGGTTTCACCGTGTTGGCCAGGCTGGTCTCAAACTCCGGATCTCTGGTGATCTGCCTGCCTTGGCCTCCCAAAGTGCTGGGATTACAGGCATGAGCCACCATGCTCAGCCGTTTAGTCATTTATTATTCAGATACTAGTTGAAGGCATGATCTATGTGAAGCAATGTGCTGGCCCTAGATGGAGACTGTAGTCTGCTAGAAGGGAGTGAAGGCATAGCCGAAGTAATTTCTCGGCATTAGTAAGATGGACAAATATTTTTTAGTGATTATGATAGAGATTTCTTCCAGATGAGTGAATAAGATGTAGAATCTGCTCCCCAAAGAGCTCACTAATTACTTTAAAAAGCAGTCAGGGCTGTGATTAGGGTTGGGCAAGGTGGAATGGCAGGCCCATGGAGGGCCACTAGCTGAGCCTCCGGCATCAAAGGAGGATGTGTTGATCCTGATAGATGAGTGGAGATTGCTGGGTCCAGAGAGAATGCAGATATTACAGTATAAATGTAGAGAAAAACAGGTGACATGTTCTGGAGAGGATATCTGGAGAGATTTTGGTACTCATTCTTTCATTGCAGAGCCTGGTCCTTTACTTCTAGTAATTCATGCTCTATTTTGGAAAATAGTTAAATAAGCAATTTTAATAAAGAGGATGAGCATTATGAAAGAGCCTGTGAAGCAGTGTCTGGGATTTTGAGCTGAAATCTTTGGGAAGTAGAAATTGACTGGGCCAAGACAGCAGAAGGAGTAGAGTCAAGAGCATTTTAGGAGGGAACAGGCGGGACAGAGGCAGCTGGGAGTTCAGAAGAGAGTCCATGGTGGAAGCATACTTTTGGGAACCATCAATGTGTCAGTGGAATTTGAAGCCACAAACCTGGAGATGATCACCAGGGGAGTGAGTCTAAGTAGAAAAGAACAAGTCTAAGGCCTGGGCCCAGTGATGCTACAATATCTAGAAAAGAGGAAGTTAGCACCATAGGAAAGTTTAAAAAAAATAGAAGAAAGGATGATGAAGAAGAACCAGGAGAGGAGACAGAAAAGGAGTAGCTTGTAAGAACAGAAGAAAACCAGGGCTGGGTGTGGTGGCTCATGGTTGTAATTCCAGCACTTTGGGAGGCCAAGGCAGATGGATCACCTGAGGTCAGGAGTTCGAGACCAGCCTGGCTAACATGAAGAAACCCCATCTCTACTAAAAATATAAAAAATTAGCCAGGTGTGGTGGCAGGTGCCTATAACCCCAGCTACTCGAAATGCTGAGCCAGAAGAATTGCTTGAACCCAGGAGGTGGAGGTTGCAGTGAGCTGAGATGGCACCATTGCACTCCAGCCTGGGTAACAAGAGTGAAACTCTGTCTCAAAAAAAAACAAGGAGAATGGGTATCTTAAAAGTCCAAGCTAAGAAAGGAGAGGTGGGAGAAAAGGATGAGCAACCAAATCAAATGCCCATTGTAGGTGAAGTAAAGAAGGACTGAGAACTCACTACTGGATTTAGTGATGGGGAAGCCATTGGTAATCTCGACAGAAACAATTTCAGTGGCTTGGGGATGATTGAATTGATGTTTTAAAAAGACCATGATGTGGCTATATTAAAAAAGAAAACAGATAATAACAAGTGATGGTGAGGATGTGGAGAAATTAGAACCCTTGTGCATTGCTAGTGGAAATGTAGCATGGGTATAGCTACTGTGGAAAACAACTCAGTGGTTCCTCACCAAGTTAAACAGAATTATCGTGAAAAATTAGTGCACACTGAGATGGTTTTAAAATCTTTGTCATCTGACAATCAAGCTTAAAATGTATCTTAGAGCAACAGAATTTTGGAAATAAAGACCTTTAAAGGCCTCATAGTTTGATGCCACAGATTATACAGCATGTTTATTATGAATTATTTCTCCTCCTTCAATTTCAATTTGCTCATATAGCCACTTGCGGTCACAGTGGCATTCAGCTCCACACTTGGTAGAACCACAGGCAGGACAAGCATAGAAACATCCTAAGCAATCTTCATCGAGGCAGTCATAGAAGTCCATCCCACTCAAAGTCAGGAGACCCTGGCTCTCATAGACCTTACTCTTTACTGGTATCACTTGTCTGTCTGAACCAGTGTTTGCATTTTTTGTAAGCCTTCTTTTTTCTCTTTTACCAGTTTCTGGAGCAAATTCAGTTTGCCTTCCTGGATTTGTAAGTTGTAATGACCTCAAAGCTTTAGCAGTTCTTCCATCTGATTCAGGTTTCCTTCTCCGGCAGTCTTCAGAATCAATATCCACACTTCTGTTGATTATCTGCGTGCATTTTGGACAAATCTTCCAACCAGGTACAAGCTGCCTTCCAAATTTTACACTAAGTCAATTACATGTAAAAAAAATTTTTTTGGCTAGTTTTTTGTGTATGTTAAATGGGTCACAACACAACTTCTGTAAATCCTCTAATCTGTCAATGTAAATTTTTTTCTTTTTTTTTGTGTGTATCTTATTTATTCTTAAATTTTTACGTGATGAAAGCAAATTGTATTGTTCCCAGAAAGAGTATTTCAGTTCTAAGTTGAAGTAAAAGCATATCATTTGATAACAATTCTTGCAAAGTCTTAAAACCTGTGTGACAAGTATTAGTAGGTTTTATGGGACTCATTTGTAGTACAAAGTTGGACTCCAACTGAACATGGATTCATCTTTCTTAATTCTAGCAAATTTTCCCTGTTTTATTTTATCTACAGGTCTAGGTCATGGGCTGATCACTTTTAGCTTGGGCTCTTCTCCGCCTGGCTTTGGGCAGGATTGGCATCCACACAGGCCACACTCGCCTGCCCGCTTCCCAGCCTGTCCCCGCGCTGCCACTCCACATCACTTATTATGTATACTCTAAACCTTTTTCTTCCCAACATAAAACATTCTACACTCCTGCAGCCTTTTTACTTTCTTAAGCAGGTAGACAAACATGTAGTTGATACTCAGTGGAAGCATAGAGCGGAGTTAAAGAGAAGGGCCCCCTTCTTTCACTGACCAGTTGAATTTTTTTCTTTCCTTTATTTATTTATTTATTTTTTGTTTTGTTTTGTTTTGTTTTGTTTTTGAGACGGAGTTTCACTCTCGTTACCCAGGCTGGAGTGCAATGGCGCGATCTCGGCTCACCGCAGCCTCCGCCGCCTCCTGGGTTCAGGCAATTCTCCTGCCTCAGCCTCCTGAGTAGCTGGGACTACAGGCACGCGCCACCATGCCCAGCTAATGTTTTGTATTTTTAGTAGAGACGGGGTTTCACCATGTTGACCAGGATGGTCTTGATCTCTTGACCTTGTGATCCACCCGCCTCGGCCTCCCAAAGTGCTGGGATTATAGGCGTGAGCCACCGCACCCGACCCTCCTTTATTTTTTGAAATAATTTTGAAATTGAGACGGGGTTTTGCCCTGTTGCCCAGGCTGGTCTCATACTCCTGAGCTCAGGTGATCCGCCTGCCTCAGCCTCCCAAAGGGCTGGGATACGGGTGTGAGCCACCACACCTGGCCAAGTTGAGTTTTTAAATTAGAAAATTTTGGAGAAATGAACTTGATTGTGCAGTCAATGAGAAAGAAAGAACAGTTTTGAAAGAAAGTCTGTGCATTTATGTGGGATTGAGACGAGTCCTATAAAGGAGAGGCTTGCCAACCCCACTGTCTCCTAAACTGCACTGGGAAACTCAGATTAAATATGTTCTGTAACCATCACTCATTCAAATGTCTCTTTTATTGTAGAAGAATATATACTAGAAGAAGAAATGGCTGGTGGTCTTTCACCAGGTTTCTTCATGGAGGAACTTAATAAATACCGTCAGAAGGAGGGAGTAGTACTTACATATGAAGAACTGCCTAATTCAGGACCTCCACATGATAGGAGGTAAGTTGCTATAAAAAATGATATGGCCTGCCGGGTGCGGTGGTTCACGCCTGTAATCCCAGCATATTGGGAGGATCATGGATGGATCACAAGGTCAGGAGATCAAGACTATCTGGGCCAACATAGTGAAACCCCATCTCTACTAAAAATACAAAAAAATTAGCTGGGTGTGGCGACACGTGCCTGTAGTCCCAGCTACTCGAGTGGCTGAGGCAGGAGAATCACTTGAACCCAGGAGGTGGAAATTGCAGTGAGCCGAGATGGAGCTACTGCACTACAATCTGGGTGCAAGACAGTGCGAGACTCTGTCTCAAAAAAAAAAAAAAATGATATGGCCTTATAAATGCAAACTGGGGAAATGGCAACTCTGGCACAACTTTGAGGTCAACACTTTAGTTTTGTGAGAATCTTCTTGGCATAAAGTGGTAACTACTTTGGAGCCACAGATGACTCCAGAAAGAAAAGAGGGTAGAAACCTTTCCATGCTTCAACAAGATGTGCTGTTTTGCTCTTAGGGGTGACTGCTTACATTCTATATTGAATGTAGGTTCAAACCCTCAAAGGTCGTCATAGGAAGTAGTAATGGCTAGAGCACTTGTTTTTAGATAGTGCATGAGTTGTATAATATTTTGTAAATATTCTCTTTGTAATCAGGTTTACATTTCAAGTTATAATAGATGGGAGAGAATTTCCAGAAGCTGAAGGTAGATCAAAAAAGGAAGCAAAAAATGCCGCAGCCAAAGTAGCTGTTGAGATACTTAATAAGGAAAACAAGGTGAGTGATTGCCTTTTTTTCCTAGTAAAAGGGAACTTGCAAATACTTTTTCTGATTCTCTCTGTGAGAAAATACCTTCATACAGAGTAAAGCCATTCACACATTCCCTTACATTCAAGACTTTGGTTCAGTCATTCCGCCCATCTTCGTTTCTGTGAAACCCTGAGTGAGAGCCACACCTAGGACACAGTGGGCAAAGCTGGATAATAGTTATTTAAAATGTCAGCAGCAGTTAAATACTCTAAAGTTGAACAAATATGGAAAGGTAAGAAGTATTCAGTGGGAAATAAGCTGACAGGTTCTGGGCGGAGTCCCCTCCACCTAATTGAGGAAGTACAAGAAAAAAGAAAAAAAAGATGAAAGTGATTGTAGGGAAAATGATGTTCAGCAATCCATCACTGTCCATGCGAATTGGTACCAGGACTCCCTGTGGATGCCAAAATCTACTGATGCTCAATTCCCTTATAGTATTTGCATATAACCTATTCATATCTTTCAATATGCAGTTATGCATTGCTTCACAGGGAGAATACATTGTCAGAAATGCATCCTGAGGCAATTTCCTCATTGGACAAACACCACAGAGGTACTTACACAATCCTAGATGGTATAGCCACTACACACCTAGGCTACGTAGTATGGCCTCTTGCTCCTGGACTACAAACCTGTACAGCATGTTACTGTACTGAATACTATAGCCAATCATAACACAATGTTTAGTATTCATGTATCTAAACATATCTAAACACAGAAAAAGTACAGTATAAATACAGTATAAAAGGCAAACCAAAGTCCTGGCATGGTGGCTCTTGCCTGTAATCCCAGAACTTTGGGAAGCTGAGGAAGGTGGATCACTTGAGGTCAGGAGTTCAAGATCAGCGTAGCCAACATGGCAAAACCCTAAAAATGCAAAAAATTAGCTGGGCGTGGTGGCGGGCACCTGTAATCCCAGCTACTTGCGAGGCTGAGGCAGGAGAATTGCTTGAACCTGGAGATGGAGGTTGTAGTGAGCAGAGATCGTACCATTGCACTCCAGCCTGGGAACCCTGCCTCAAAAAAAAAAAAAAGACAAACAAAAGTACACCCATAGAGGGCACATACCATGCATGAATGGAGCTTGCAGGACTGGAAGTTCCTCTGAGTGAGTCAGTGAGTGAGTGGTAAATGAAGGTGAAGGCCTAGGGCATTATTGTGTGCAACTGTAGACTTTGTAAACACTGTATACATAAGCTACACTAATTTTATTTACAATTTTTTCTTCAATAATAAATTAACCTTAGCATACTGTAACTCTTTTACTTTATAAACTTCTTATTTTTAACATTTTGACTCTTTCCTGATAACACTTAGCTTAAAACACAAACACATAGTTTGGCTGTACAAAAATATTTTCTTTCTTTACCTCTTTATTCTATAAGCTTTTTTCTATTTTTAAAATTTTAAACTTTTTTCTTTACTTTTAAACTTTGTTGTAAAAATTTAGACCATGGTTGGGCACAGTGGTTCATGCCTGGGATGTCGAGGAGCCATGATTATGCCACCGCACTCCAGCCTGGGTGACAGAGCGAGACCCTGTCTCAAAAAAAAAAAAAAAAACACAAGGCTAGGCGTGGACATGGTGGTTCATGCCTGTAATCCCTGCACTTTGGGAGGTCAAGATAGTTATCGAGGGCAACATGGTGAAACCCTGTCTGTACTCAAAATAGAAAACATTAGCCGGGCTTGGTGGCATGTGTCTGTAGTCCCAGCTACTCAGGAGGCTGAGGCAGGAGGATCATGTGCCTGAGAGGCTGGGGCAGCAGTGAGCTGTGATCTTGTGACTGCACTCCAGCCTGGGCAACACAGCAAGACCCTGTCTCAAAAAAAAAAAAAAAAAAAGGAAAAAAAATTACAACAGAAACACACATATCCGCCCTAGGCCTGCACAGCGTCAGGATCATCAGCACCACCATTTTCCACCTCCACATTTCGTCCCTCTGGAAAGTCTTCAGGAGCAATAACATACATGAAGCTGTCATCTCCTATTGTAACAATACCTTCTCTTGGATTACCTACTGAAGGACCTGCCTGAGGCTGTTTTATTTTTTTTATTTTTATTTTTTGAGACAAAGTCTCCCTCTGTCGCCAGGTGCCAGGCTGGAGTGCAGCGCCAAGCTGGAATGCAGTGGCATGACTTTGGCTCACCGAAACCTCTGCCTCCCAGGTTCAAGCAATTCTCCTGCCTCAGCCTCCTGAGTAGCTGGGACTACAGGCGTGCGCCACCATGCCCACTAATTTTTGTATTTTTAGTAGAGATGGGCTTTCACCATGTTGGCCAGGATGGTCTCGATCTCTTGACCTCGTGATCCGCCTGCTTCGGCCTCCCAAAGTGCTGGGATTAGGGTCGTGAGCCACTGTGCCCAGCGGAGGCTGTTTTACAGTTACTTTTTTTTTTTTTTTTAAGTAGAAGTACATTCTAAAATAATGATAAAAAGTATAGTATAAATACATAAGCCAGTAACATAGTTGCTTATCATTATCCAGTATTATGTACTGTAGGTAATTGTATGTGCTAGATTTTTTTTTTTTGAGATGGAGTCTCACTCTGTTACCCTGGCTGGAGTGCAGTGGTGAGGTCTCAGCTCACTGCAATGTCCGCCTCCCAGGTTCAAGTGATTCTCCTGCCTTAGCCTCTCAAGTAGCTGGGATTACAGGCACCTGCCACAACACCCTGCTAATTTTTTGTCTTTTTAAAAAGTAGAGATGGGGTTTCAGCTGTGTTGGCCAGGGTGGCCTCAAACTCCTGATCTTGTGATCCACCCATCTCAGTGTCCCAAAGCACTGGGATTACAGGCGTGAGCCACTGCACCCAGCCCTGTGCTAGACTTTTTTATAAGACTGTAGCACAGTAGATTTGTATACAGCAGTGTCCCCACAAACATGTGAGTAATGCATTGTGCTATAACCCAGGAGTTTTTGTATTTTTTGTAGATCTGGGGTCTCACTATGTTTCCCAGGCTGGTCTTGAACTCCTAGGCTCAAGTGATTGGCCCCCCTCAGCCTCCCAAAGTGCTCGGATTACAGGCGTGAGCCACCACACCCAGCTATAAGTAGTCATTATGCTGTGTTGTTTAGGGAATAATGACAAGAAAAAAATCTGTATATATTCAGTATGATGCAACCTTCATTTTTTTTTCCAAATATTTTTGATCCATGATTGGTTGAATCCAGGGATTTGGAACCCATGGATATAGAAAGCCAAGCGTTTACAAAGAGCAGATAATAAAGAACCAATATACATGTGACTGGTATCCCTGAAGATGAGAACAGAGTAAATAGTACAGAAGAAAATGACCTGAAAAGATTTCAGCAGAAAATGCTTATGAAATGAAGACTTGACTGCAGATTAAAACAACTTAATAGATACAGGAAAATTTAGAACCACCCAGACCAACATTGATTCTTATGAAAGTGCTGAGCTCCAGTGATGAATAAAGAATTCTATAAGCATCTAGAAAGGAGAAGAAAAATATGTAAAATGTAAATATTTTTAAAGATTCATGCTGTGCACAGCAATATTATAAACCAGGAGATAGTACAGCAATGGTTATAAAATGAGACATTAAGTCATTTACATTTTAGACAACAGAGGACCATTCTCAGATTTTGAAAATTTGGGGAAAATTTAGGTTTCAAGATTCTTGAAAATCTTACTTAAAGATATCACCCTTCTAACCAAATTTTTATTTTTATTTTTTGAGACAGAGTTTTGCTTTTGTCGCCCAGAATGGAGTACAGTGGTGTGATCTCGACTCACTGCAACCTCTTCCTCCCGGGTTCAAGCGATTCTCCTGCCTCAGCCTCCTGAGTGGCTGAGATTACAGGCACCCACCACCATGCCTGGATAATTTTTTGTATTTTTAGTAGAGACGGGTTTCATCATGTTGGCCAGCCTAGTCTTGAACTTTTGACCTCAGTTGATCCACCCGCCTCAGCCTCCCAAATTGCAGGGATGACAGGCATGAGCAACCATGCCCTGCCCCCCAATTTTTTTTTAATCAAGCAAAATTACAAAGTGTAATTATTAATGAGCTAGAAAACTGAGTCAAGAAGTTAGAAAAAAAGTAGAATGTCTTACCACCAAAAAGCAGAAGAAACAAAATAACAATGGTTGAAATTACTGTAAAAGAAACAAAAAAAGAAAAGAAAGAAAATCAATAAAACCAAAAATTAGTTTGTGACAAGATTAATAAAATAGCAAAACCCAGGTGAGTGTGGTGGCTCATGCCTATAATCCTAGCATTTTAGAAGGCTGAGGCAGGCAGATAGGTTGAGCTTAGGAGTTCGAGACCAGCCTGGGTAACATGGCCAAACCCCATCTCTACAAAAAATACAAAAAAATTACCTGGGCATGGTGGCACATGCATGTAGTTCCAAGTACTTGTGGGGCTAAGACAGGAAAATTGTTTCAACCTGGGAGGTTGAGGCTGCAGTGAGCTGAGGTTGCACCACTGCACTCTAGCCTGGGTGACAAAGTGACACCCTGTCTCAAAAAAAAAAAATAATAATAGCAGCGGGCATGGTGACTCATGGCTGTAATCCCAGCACTTTGGGAGGCCGAGGTGGGTGGATCACTTGAGGTCAGGAGTTCAAGACCAGACTGACCAACATGGTGAAACCCCATCTCTACTAAAACAATAAAAAGTAACCGGGTGTAGGCCGGGCACGGTGGCTCAAGCCTGTAATCCCAGCACTTTGGGAGGCTGAGGCGGGTGGATCACGAGGTCAAGAGATTGAGACCATCCTGGTCAACATGGTGAAACCCCATCTCTACTAAAAATACAAAAAATTAGCTGGGCATGGTGGCGCGTGCCTGTAGTCCCAGCTACTCAGGAGGCTGAGGCAGGAGAATTGCCTGAACCCAGGAGACGGAGGTTGCGGTGAGCCGAGATCGCGCCATTGCACTCCAGCCTGGGTAACAAGAGCGAAACTCCATCTCAAAAAAAAAAAAAAAAAAAAAATTAACCGGGTGTGGTGGGACATGCCTGTAATCCCAGCCACTTGGGAGGCAGAGGCAGGAGAATTGCTTGAACCTGGCCTGGGAGGCGGAGGTTGCAGTGAGCCAACATTGCACCAGCAACAAGAGCAAAACTCCATCTTAACAAAAAGTAAAACTTTGGACAAGATTTTTGTTGGACTAAGAAAAAAAAATGGTAGAGATAACAATAGTAGAAATGATACGATTATATTCATCTTTTTCATTAACTTGTGATCCAGTATACAGCTTTACTATGGTATCTCTTGCCTTGTTTTTTGAGATTAGATGGGATATAATAAGTTAGAAAGTGTTATAGTACTTTTCAAGAACAAACAAGAATATCGAGTATTTTGTTTTTCCTTATGAAACTATAAAAGAAAAATGGGTGACTTCTTTCCTATTGTTAAAATGTATCTTTGTAGATTTTTTTTTCTAGTAGAGGGAGATAGATAGTCACACTTTTACTCAAGGTAATATAATAGGAAAATATAAAACATACAGTTGTCTTTCAAATTGCTCATTTAGTAATTTTATTAGAAGAATAAAATGTAGAACGTTAAATCTTTGTTGTCATTTATATTAAACAAGAATTTTTTTTTTTTTTTTTTTTTGTAGGCAGTTAGTCGTTTATCATTGACACCAACTGATTCTTCGGAAAGATCATCCATTGGAAATTACATAGGCCTTATCAATAGATTTGCCCAGAAGAACAGACTAACTGTAAATTATGAACACTGTGCCTCGGGGGTGAATGGGCTAGAAGGGTAAGACACAGTTTGGCTTTTCTTTCTGTTTCATTGTATCTAAGCAATAAAGTAGGTTTATTTTCATGCCTAATTTTCCAGAAATATGTATCCTTTTAAACATTCTGTATGGAAGGTTTTATATGATTGATAAGCAATTGGATTTATTATTTGTAGTTAAAATGCTTAATTGCTGAAACCATGGAATCCATTTACCATAATTGATTGAATTAGGGTAGTCCTTTATTTCAGAGATGTAGCTGGTTGGTTTAGTCTGTAGAACGCCCAAGAGAGTACAGAATGCCACTGCTCAAAGAATGCAGAGATCTGGCCAGACGAGGTAGCTCATGCCTGTAATCCCAGCACTTTGGGAGGCTGAGGCGAGTGGATCACGAGGTCTAGAGATTAAGACCATCTTGGCCAACATGGTGAAATCCCGTCTCTACTGAAACTATAAAAATTAGCTGAGCATGATGGCACATGCCTGTAATCCCAGCTACTTCTGAGGCTGAGGCAGGAGAATCATTTGAACCCAGGAGATGGAGGTTGCAGCGAGCCAAGATCACACCACTGCACTCTATCTTGGCAACAGAATGAGACTCCATCTCAAAATAAATAAATAGGCCGGGCGCGGTGGCTCAAGCCTGTAATTCCAGCACTGTGGGAGGCCGAGGCGGGTGGATCACGAGGTCAAGAGATCGAGACCATCCTGGTCAACATGGTGAAACCCCGTCTCTACTAAAAATACAAAAAATTAGCTGGGCATGGTGGCGCGTGCCTGTAATCCCAGCTACTCAGGAGGCTGGGGCAGGAGAATTGCCTGAACCCAGGAGGCGGAGGTTGCGGTGAGCCGAGATCGTGTCATTGCACTCCAGCCTGGGTAACAAGAGCGAAACTCCGTCTCAAAATAAATAAATAAATAAATAAGGAATGTAGAGATCTTTTCATCATTGAGGTCATGATGGTGGTAACTGTCTGAAAACCTGTCTGCCACATGTATAGAATGACCCTTCACCCTTGTCAGATCAGGGAGCTCTTTGTCCAGGTATTTGTCCTTCAAATTTGATTAAATGAATGAAGACCTTGTATCAGATGGAATGAGTTTTAGCCCTAGGCTGTGAGGAGACTAGGATTTGAGGGATCTGATGAGACAGATGAACTAGAGTTTCAAAGTTACTGAGAACATCACCAGTGAGCTAAGATGTGTGGAGGTGAGGATAAAGAATGAATTGGAACTGAGAAAAGCAGAAATCAAATGAGTGTGAGGTGATTGTTTTTCAACTGCAACCAACCAGTTAATGAGAAAGAAGAAAAAAAATCCATGGCAAATAGTTCAAATCATCATTTTAGGATACTATTCTATGTATTGACTCATAGCTTTTGGGCCAAAACCAGGAGGAGAAAAATGTGATAGTTTTCATTGGAATAAAATAGTCAAAAGTGAATCTGTGGGTCAATCTCAATAATTAAGAGACTATTTTATTTTCTGTAGCTCACCTTTCTGGTTCCTTTGAATTATGTTCTTTAATATTAGATACCTAAAAGAGAGAAGAAATATATTTCATGCGGTACCTGAAAAATATAGAAGCTATAGAAACGATCCAGTCACTCAACCCAGCTATTTAATTCAGGGTCTAGCGGGGAAGACTCACCCTGTTTGAATGTGTTTCTCTCGATGGCCTCCAGTGGAAACACAAAGGAAAAAGAGTGCAAATACTGGAATAATTTTGCAGTAATATATAGTAACTCTATGACGTAAATTGCCATGTCCATTGTTTTATCCCTGAAAGATAATTCTTATATAATTGTCCAAGTGTCCTTACCTAGCCACATATGTTTTTGCATTTAACAGGAGGAGAGTGTGGACTTTAGTATCAGGCATCTGCACTGTGGGGATTTTCTTTTCTTTTTCTTTCTTTCTTTTTTTTTTTTTTTTT